TAAATATTTCCTATCATATTCCTTTTAATTAGAGTTTTATATGGGATAAGAGTAATTTATTGTCGATTCACAGATATTATTGTCAAACTCTTCGAAATTTGTAATATTTAAAATAGTTTATATTGAAGTTATCTTTACCACAAACATACTTGATATAAGAAAAATAAAAATAATTAGATTTTAAAATTACCTAAAAAAAGTAATAAACTAAAAATAATTCGTTATTTGGCAAAGGAAATTTATAAGAATGACTTGATACAGGAATTTAAATGATAGAAGCATTTAAGGCATTGAATCATGAAAATCGATTCAATTTCCGCGATCAATTCCATCATTAGATGATTTTCATTTTTGCTCTTTTGTAAATTTACTACAGTCATTTACAAAATTATGGATTATTGCTGTGAGCTTGTGGAAGACGACTGATTCTAGAAAATAATTATCCTTTTATAGCTGCTAATTTGATGGCTTAATTACGACATTGGGAATGACAAATTCCCAGTGATATGTGAATATTTTAATAGCCCTTCAGATGATGTATTCGATAAGGCATCTTCCCAGAGATATTCTCACTTTCTAGACAGAACTCACAAGCATGTCTTAGCCAAAGAAAAAACAAAGTTAAACAGCTGGCATCATTAAGCATAATTTGGAAGAGATTTCTCAAGTTTTGGAGCTAATTCGAGGCAATTACGGTTTCGTCTCTTCCAAACCGTTTGGCGGCAAAAGGCGATCGATGGTTGGCTTTTGGCCCGAAGCCTTAGCCTGGTCCACATGCAGCACACATCTCCAAGATATTCCAAGTCCCATCGGAGGCTTCATTATGGCGAGTTGTGCAGCAAAATGAAATCAATCAGAGATAATCTGTCATGGATAATGGCCGCCTGTCCAGCTCCAGCTCCAATCTCCGTTTTTCGTTTTGTGTAACCCCCAAAGCGATCGGCTCCGACTCATTTAAGTGATTCGTGTAATTATTTTAAACAGCCGCAGTGTAAATTTCGTTAAACATCCATCTCCGCTCGGGACTCGGAGTTCATCTAGGCCCGTTTTGGGCATAATATGACAGGTAAACAGTTGAGGCCGTTGATAAATGGCCACGAATGCTGTTGTGGACCACATTTAATTGTTTCAGGTCTCGGTGAGGAGTGAGGAGGTGAATGCAAAACTTTCGATTGGTATTGTAAATATGACTTTAATGACTGTAGCAGTCTGAACGGGCTTTAATTCTGAGTGCCGTACTCTCGAGAGGAGTTCGTCGGCTTCAGTCAGAGCTAGTCAGTCAATCATTAATCACTCAATCAATCATTTGGCAAGCGATTCCTGCCAGCCATCGTGGTCCTGTTGTTTTCGGTGGAAGAACCTCCAGCTTTTCGCTGGGGGTCTCGACCTAATCAACATCCCAGATTCCCCATTCCCACCCATCCGAGTCCCCTGAGTTCCTCTGCTTAGGCTGAATCTACGCCGACTTGTCAACATGTCGTTAACACAATTTCCATACCAGATTGATTGGAATGCCAGCCTCTAAGTGAAGGCCTGCTAAGTGGTGGAGGTGGGTGGTTTCAGGGGGAAGTTTCATTGCCAATAAACATGAATTTAAAGTGAATTCTTGGTTTTACATGTACAGCAATAACTTTTTATTTAATAAGCTTCGAAGTATAAAGTAGAACTGAAATAGAAATAGAGAATATTTTAATAATATTTTCATTAATACAGTTTTATACTACTTAAAAAAGTATAAAGAAAGCTCTTAACCCCTACAAACATTCTCTTTTAAGTCTGTCGGTTATACGTTTAATTTAATATTTTCTCAAACTTTATAAAAACATGTTCTTCTCTGTGCCCAATTCTGCGATTAGCATATTCCTAATAGCTGGCATTAGCCAGCTAATCAGTGGCCGGGGTTCCCACCCACTTTGCATAATACCATTCGATCACACACTCTCGGGCTTCTTAATTTTATATCACAAACTTTTGATGGCTGGTTTAAAGAAGCAACTGGAAACGAAGAACATCCCATATAGCATCGTGGTATGTGTATTCGCATTGGTGGTCGTAATGTGCCTCGGTGGATGTGGACTTGGATGCGACATCATTAATCACATTTCACATTTCAGTGTGTTGCCTCGTGCAGCAAGTGAACTTCCTTCTGCCGTCGCCTGACAGTCGCAACTGATTGCTGGATCTGAATTGGGATTTCGGACTCAAATGCCCCGCACAAAGAGCAAACACACTCCTCCCCCAATTCCAGCCCCATCCTTTTTGTGGCACATCCCACCCCCAGGACGCCTGCTGACGCAAGGCTCTCAGCGCGCCCTCGTCCCCTCCGATCGGGGATTTTCCCCCGGAACAACCTCGGCTTTCCATCCCGTCCAAGGAGCTGTGTCAGAGCTGAGAAAATTCAATGTAGCAGCCACTAATGCGACGACTGAGCTCAGGAGTTCTTTGCATTGACGCCGAGGAAGAATATAATATGCTAAGTGTGCTTTAAGAAGCATTTTAAACTTGAATAAAAATGTTGAAAAATCTTTAACCTTGGATATTTTATAATACAACAAATATATAAGTTTGGCTTTAAGCTGGAGAATAAGCTTTAATGAAAGGTGTGAACACATTTGATTCATACAAATATTGAAATCTTTACATGTTAAATTTGATCTAGATTATAAATTTAAGTACTAATAAGGAGTATAATTAACCACACAATGCTATTAGCTAACATGCAAGATCCATTTGTAAACATTCGCTAGTTGATTAATCGAAACTCTTTAACTTGGAATGAAGACCTAAAACCAACAATCACACCTTCATATGAGCCGCAGACTAAATTTAAGTTTTATACACTTAACTGGCCTAATGACGTTTTGATGGTGACCATCAAAATCGAATCAGTTGGAAGTCGATTAATTAGTGGCCATGCCTCCTATATTCCCTGGCCCGAAAACACATGGACTTGATGGCGGAGGTGGCACAGCACGTGGACCCAATTGTGAGGGGGTTAAGATATTTCGGGTGGGTTCAATTATTCGGCAATTAGGCAAAGTCATATACAGAAACACACGCCAGAAGTGTGACTCGAATTTATTGTAGATTTAAACTTATTGTTGTTTGGTCTTAGAAAGAAAAATCGCAGGAAAATGTCCCATGTCAATTATAAAAAAACTAATCTCTGCTAAAATCTAAGCCTTTTGAGAACAGTAAATAACAAAAATATATTATTATTATATATGCATCTTAAAATATTAAAAAAGGAGTACAAATAAAGTTCCATTCCGTTCGAAATTTAAAAACAGCAAAAAATATAATTAAAGCTTTCTAAGAAGCCTGCACAAAAAGCCATTTATTTTGGATTGTATCAGTGATTCATTTCATGTGAGTCAGTCTAAATATTTACTAAAAACAATATTAAAGCGTTAAATATCCAACCTTCTCGACGTGCATTATACAACAATCATTCTATCGATTTTCCATGTATTGTTTGCTTCATTTGAATATCTGCTCGTCATCGCAGTAGCACCAACAACAACAGCATCCCAGGAAAAATCACGGTAGTAATGATAACAACAATAACAACCTTAACCCCAGCGAGACCACAACAATAGTCACATAAGAGAACATTATGCCAAAGTGATATTCGTTCGCTGTTCAATTGAAATTATTGCAAGTCAGCGAAGGCTCTCCAACTCGGTAGCTGATTTCCAGACGGAGAAATCGGCATCCAATAGTTCCTTTCCCCTCTTCAAGATCAACGCTGGTGCTGGCTGCATCAGAACGGGTCCATTCTATATGTTCCTATCGGAACCGCACTCCGAAAGTGGAAAATAAATGGTCTGGTCCATATCCACACTTGCGGCTTGTCCGGGATCGATGAAAGCCCTCTGAAAGTGGGCGGTGCTTCTTCGAGCTAGACGTCTTTTTTGCCGGACTCCACTTTCAGAGCGTGCGCCATGGCTGCCGTTTCCACCAACACAAGCACATCGAAAATACAACCAAAATACTGTATCTGCAAGGGGAACTTACAGTCGAGGCTGACTAATTGGGTTCAGGTGAGAGAAAAAACAGTGGTGGTTTTTTGATTAAAAGAAATCTGTGCTAAAACTGTATTATTTAAAAATTCAGTTCAAGTTTCAAGACAAAAAGAAAATACTATAATTACAAAACAAGAAAAAAAGGCAAGGTTGAAAAACCGATATTAGTAACCCTGGCATTGGCAGTTTAAGAGAATTAAATGTTATTAAATTTTTAACTATTTTAATTATGTAAACCCTTATAATGTTTTGAAAAAAATCTGAGAAAAAATCAAAGAAAACAATTTGCTTGTTCATGTTGATTTGTAACATATATAATAAATGAATCCTTTGCTGCTTTATGGCTAAAATCATAATACCATTCAAAGGTATAAAAACGTCGATTTAGATTTAATAATATTGGATCTTGACCCTTAAGACATGTCAATGCTACTGTATCACAATCGTAAAACCTAAAAACATTTATAGATTAAAACGTATTCTATTTAAATTCTAAAGTAAATCGTATATAAAATTTCTTGAGTAATAGACATCGTTCCAATATTCCACAACTCGACTGTATACCCTGCACACCGATTGTAAATGGGTGTGACAAACAGTCGTGCCATCTCATTCTGTTGCATAGGCATATTGCCCTCCCTGTTCCTCGCCCGCATCAACAGTTCAGTGGTGGAAAATGGCGTGCGAAGAGTGTGAGAGGCAGAGCCACACAGACATGGCTGCTGCTCTCGGCTCTCCTTCCATTTTCATTCCCATTCCCCTGCTTCCCGCTGCTACCATTGCGCAGTGTGTGTGTGGGCCGTCCTTCGAGTGAGGCGGCTCTCTGCTGTTGTTGTTGTTGCTGTTGGAGCGGCAGTGAAAACCCGTTTCGCTGGCAATGGCGGTGGGAGAGAGCAAGCGAGACAGCAGAGGAAACGGAACAGGTCCGCTCGCTCGGAGAGCTGTCGTGAACGAGCATAACAAAAGAACGGCTTGAATGGAACGGTTCGTGTTCGCTGCGCACTCGTAAAGCCGAAGCGTCCGACTTTTCTCCCAGTGTGTGTTTTTAAAAATCTTAAATATTCGTTTTTTTAAGCGCGTTAATAAGTGTATTTAATCAAGCTAATCCCGGGAACCACAAAGTTCCCAAGCGTGGGCTTTACAAAAGTGCCAAAACAAAACAAAAGCAGTGCAAATTAATCTAAAAAGTTCAGATATTCCAAAACAGCTTAAGTGAAAAACCCAAAATAAAATATAATTTCATATATAATCGATCGAAGAAGCTCTTAATAAGTTAACTAAAAATCGTACAACGAATCCAAAATCTTAAAAAACATAGTAATTATTATTCTTAAAGCAATATTTGCATTTAGCAAGTGCTGCTTGCCACCCATAATTTACTGTACTAAAAGCAAAAGCTATGGAATATGAGCAGAACGAGTGAAAGTGACCAATCCATTATCTAAAGCTAACACAAAACCCTTAGAAAACCTAAAGTCCCCTTTGCAAATCGAAGATTTCGGAGGCACTCCGCCATGAGCTCATTCCTCATGGGTTATCCGCATGCACCGCACCATGTCCAGAGTCCCATGTCCATGGGCAATGGCCTGGAGCCCAAGTTCCCGCCGGTCGCCGATGACTACCATCACTACAACGGCCACTACTCGATGACCGCTTCCACGGGCCACATGAGCGGTGCCGTCGGCAGTGGAGCGGTCTCAGGTGGCGGATCGGTGGGCTCCTGTGGGGCTAGCGGGATGTCAGGACATCCCCATACCATGCATCCGGCAGACATGGTCAGCGACTACATGGCTCATCACCACAATCCGCATACCCACTCGCATTCGCACAGCCACTCACTGCCGCATCACCACAGCAATAGTGCATTGTCCGGACACCACCAGCCATCTGCCGGTGGATACAGCTCCAACTACGCCGCCGCCACTCCGCCCTCGCATCCGCATCCGCACGCCCATCCGCACCAGAGCCTGGGCTACTACGTGCACCACGCCCCCGAGTTTATATCCGCCGGGGCGGTGCACTCCGACCCATCAAACGGATACGGCCCGGCAGTAAATGTTCCAAATAATAGCAGCGGGAGCGGAGGTGCAGGAAGCGGAGGAGTTATCGGAGGCGGAGCTGTGGCAGCATCAGCTAATGGTTACTACGGTGGCTACGGTGGCGGCTATGGAGCGGCGAACGGAAGCGTTGGCAGCACCCGCTCCCAAGGACACTCACCGCACTCCCAGATGATGGACCTGCCGCTTCAGTGCTCCTCCACGGAACCACCGACGAACACTGCCCTAGGACTGCAAGAGTTAGGTGAGTCCCTCGAAATAGAAGAACCAAGTGGATATATCTAAATAGCTATGCGTTATCAAGAATTATAGGACTAAAAGGTACCCCAAAGTTGTAGTTTTACGATAATTTTGTGCCTAAATAAGGTTTTTATTGTTCGGTACGTTTTTAGTACTTGTTTTTTATTGTTTGTTACAAAATGTTTTGCTAATGTAGTAAAAGACCGGTTTTTAGTTCAGCTAAGCAGCTTTATCGAAATATATTTATTGACTTTAAAAATATATAATATTTAAGTAAGTCAAGCTTAGGAAAATATAATTTAATTCTCTTTTTCTGCATAAACTGGTAAATTGCAACCCCGCAAATGTCTAATATTAACAAAAGGAATCAAAATAAAACCAAATATCATACAATATTATATAGATCATAGCTATATTTAATACTTATGATAATTCAATTTAATAATATCGTTTTCCTTCAGGCTTAAAGCTTGAGAAACGCATTGAAGAAGCTGTACCTGCCGGTCAACAACTGCAAGAGCTGGGCATGCGATTGCGCTGTGATGATATGGGATCCGAAAACGTAAATACACCAAAGATACTCCCCTGAAGGGAGCGCCTATTCAATGTTTCGATTGACTCTCTTAGGATGATATGTCGGAAGAGGATCGGCTTATGCTGGATCGATCCCCGGACGAGCTGGGCTCCAATGACAACGATGACGATCTCGTGGACTCAGACAGCGACGACGATCTGATGGCGGAGACGACCGACGGCGAGCGGATTATATATCCCTGGATGAAGAAGATCCATGTGGCTGGTGTGGGTGAGTTGAAAGTTTTCTCTCCCTTTGTGTGCGGCCCCAGTGTGGCCCCGTTTTTCGGGGTATGCTAATTAAATTACTTAGCTGCCAACACCCACTTGATCCACTGACAGGCCCCTGTAATGCCCGCTCTTTGGCGAAAACAACAAATGAAAATAAGCAAAATAAACAAAATAAAAGCCAAAGACACCAGCCAACCGAGTAACAGAAAAAAAGAAAACTGCGAGTCCAAGCTCATTAATCAAAATCAAGAGTGCCACGCCTTGTGTCGGGGGGCGAACCGTGTTCACCAAATGACAAGTTCCTGTACATACTGCTCCTATATAGTATAATGCACATATCCCCCAGTGTGTTTCGTTCGTCTGCAATCAGCACTCCGAGCGGCTCCTTGAAATAAGGCCTCTTCAGAAGTTCTTTCAACACTTGAACCGACTTAAAGTCAACTTGGACTGCTGAATGGTACGGTGCCAATTGATATATCATAAACAGGGGACTGGGGAATGTGGCATCGGAATGCAAGGTTTTATTAAAGTCAATAAAAAGTCATATAGTCATAAAAATTTTAGGGAGACTGTATGATTAAAGTCTTGTTTGTGATCTAGTCTGCCCCATTTCTTTAATTTTAAAAAGTAAAATTTTATTAGTAAATACTAAAATTTGCATTCATGGAAACCCATTGAGTGATATGACTCACTCACATTCAATCCACAGACGCCAAGAGCTCTGAATATGGTACCTCATTATGGTCAACACAAAAACCGAATGCAACACCAAGTATAATCGTAGATGGGGAACAGGTTTCCACTCGCCTCCATTCACCAGAACCCGAGACCGCCTGAATGGGCTCCGTTGGGCTGAGTTGACAGTTCGATGTGGCCCGGCACAGATAATTACCCTTAATTGTCGCGTCCAAAACGGGGAATTCATTCAGCCATGTGTCGAGTGTGTTACCAACAATATCCAGCGACCAACTGGCGATTGTCGTCGCTTATTGTTTTAATAATACCGAATTGGGGATGCCTTCGGGCGGCAAGTAGGTGACGAATGCATTTACCAGAGGATCGGGAGGAGGCCAGTCTAGGAGGACACTCCATTGATAGATTGCTTTTTAATTAGCACAGCGTCGTAGTACTCCAGTTCGAGCATAACCTTGACCCAAATGGGCAATTATAATGTTTCGCTTAACGCCACACCGACTGGCTCATTGTCAAATGCCTCATCGGATCATTGCGTTTCCCAGTGCCCACTCCAGATTTTAGTCCCGCTAGGAATTTGACTTTACACCGAGAAAAAAAGAACTGAGGATCAAAAATATAAATGATTTGAGAACATACCTTAAACACGAATTTGAAAATTAGATTTCGAAGTACAAAAGTATGTACTCCATCATAAAAGTATTATATATTGTACTCTAAATATTTTACCATAAAATTAATATTTTTTGGAGTGCTTTCATCAAAATTCAAACTCGAAAAAAATTTCGAAGTAGCTCGCCGGACGGTTGGACAGACTGGCAGCCGATCGCTCAGGGGCATATTTGACACAGTCGCAAGGTATGGGACTCCGACTCCGACTCCGACTCCGTCGCCGCCGGGCGAATACTCCGACTGAGTGACGGATGGTCCGTGTCATTTGATGTTAATGTTGTGACATTTATCATGACCGCACGACCACGAGAACAAGACGAAACCTGATTATCGCCAGTGCATCATCTCAGCCTCCGTCTTGGAATCAGTCTCAGGTCTCGTTGCCCCAAAACCCGTCCCCTCTACCTCATCGGTGTCATGTTGTTCCCTTTACAAATGACTTACACTTGCCCGAAACTAAGGCCCGAAACTATGCCTGCGATGTGGCGTGTGGTCTCTTGCTTAATTTATTTTGTTGTTGTTTATTTTTTTTTTTGCCCTACGGCAGACCTAAAACTTGTTCAAAACTTTGGCTCAGCCGGAATAAAAGAGTCCGAGTTAGGTGTGAAACGAATTTCGGAGAGCAATTTTGTGGATTATTTAATAGTTGCCATTAAAAGTGTTGAAAGGCAATGAAAAGTAAATGAAATAAGGGTTTTTATTGAGAGTTTAGCTGCAAGGGAGTGAAACTATTAATGAGGTGTGTTTATGATAAGGAAATAAATTTGATAAATACGTGTTTACAGAAATCTTCCTACTGAATAATAATACAATTGCCTAATAAGAAGACTTTATTCAGCACTATCATAAGGTTTTATTTGATACAAATGAATGATATTAAATTGATTATTAAACTATCAAATGATAGTTAGCTGGGCCTAAAATTGTTACATTTTTCTTTTACAGTATTTTACTTAAGAATTAAGATCTAAAATGTGACAACTATAATTTATTTGACTTTGAAACCATCTTGTTATTTTATAAACTATAAAAACCTTAGTTAATTGACGAAGGAATATTCCCTTAATTAAAACCTTACCAAAAAATTATTTCTAATATTATTTAAACACAATTCTTTTTTCCCTCTAAATGTTGAATTACAAACTATTAAACAATTAATGTTTTAAATATCAAAAATTAAATGTATTATCTCCAAGGAATTTTTCCAATATTCCAATTTTATTGATCAACATTTGTGCCACATGCTAATGCGAAAAACTTAACTCAAATAAATTCTGTGGGAAATCTCGACTGAGAAATATTGATTTCATGCACGACGGCGACTCAAGATGAGGCGGCTAAAACCCGTACAAGTTTCATGTTTATACAAGGAGATACACACAGCTATATAGTATAGCCGATGCCGCTTTCAATGAACAGTGAAACGTGAACAGCCTTGTAACTGAATTTCAATGGCAAGTCCACGATTAAGTTTCCACCATGAGGCTGAGTTTTGGCCCGAGAGTCACAGTTACCCGATGACTTGCGGAAAAGCCTCGGCTCAGCGGCGAAAAAAGTGCAAGCCTCAGATACAGATACAGATACAGATATACGAGGCTCCGACGGCTCAGATGCTGTAAAAACTCAGCTGGAATTGCGCCTTTTGCCAAAGTGCAAAGCGGTGGGCCTGGGGGTGGTAAGCGGTGCCGGAATCAGGGGAGTAATCACCGGCGGCCGAAGGCATGACAATGATGAAAATGACGCAGTAAAAATTAAGAAGTTCGCCTTTATGACAGATGGGGCACGAACAGCTGAGGCTGACTCTCAGCTGGACTCTTCGCAAACATAATTAGAGGTCTATCTCTCCCTGCCTCTCTTTCTCACTCTTATTGCCGTCTCTGTTTTGGTTTGGCAATTTACGCCAATAAAGTTCTCTGGAGCTGTGCAAATTATTGAAATTGGCTTTAATTAGCGGAGCTTTTATTGCCGCTGCCACACTCTGCCCATTGTCCAGCCCAGCCAGGCGGGTATATAGAAATATATAAAATATATACACAATTTGGTGGGGTTTGTTCAGCGCGTTCTTTTCTCGAAAGCAACGAATCTTCAAGGTCGCTCTACGCGTTCTCCATTGTTCGCCGCTGGTCTTTAAGTCGTGAGCTTCTTAGCAGCTCCGTCTTTCTTCTGGCACTCTGCACTTCGGGTTCGGTTTCGCTTGATTTTACGGCTCCATTCTATTTCCATTTCGTTGGCATAACAAAACGATTCCGTCTTGGGACAAGTGCTGACTTTGCGGCTTAGTTGAATAACACTGTTGATGGTCATTCGATTGGCTTCTTTTCTGCCAAGTGCCAGAATCGAAAGTGAAGCGAATGCTGTTTAAAATGTGTAAACAAAAGCTCACAAATTACGTCAAGATATTATTAAACAAAAGAACTTAAAAAGTGAAAAGAATACATTTTAGTTATTGCATTATTTAACGAAAAACTTTGACACTGATTTAAACATTTAATTTAAATAATTTACTTTGGATTCCACGTTTTATTTTATTTTTTGTTCGTCTCCAAAGCTCAGATATTTAAATTCAAATAAATACCCCAAAAGAATAGGATACTATAATTAGTTTTGCATACAGGTGTTCCTAGGAAACTGTTTTCTTACTTAACTCCTTAAACCGTACTCAAATTAACATATTTTTCCATTTAGTTGTGCACTTGGCTGAAAGCCATTGAAAAGCGCCCAAAGTATTTGCGTTTAAATTAACAAAATTCGAGTTGGAGAACAATTCTCATTCTCCCACAGCGCGGCAACCAGTTCAAGTGCTGCGGGTACTTTACTTTGGCTACATTGTACATACATATGTAAGCACGTTATATATGTATATATATAAATTCGGGTATATATAGGAGGGTTTGGGTGTTCTGCCCGTACATGTGTAAGTAGCATGAGCTCATGTTTATTTTTATTATTTGCCTGCCACAAATTGCAAGTCACTTGACAAGCTGCTGATGCAGCTCCCGCTGTTGTTGAAATGTTGACTTGCCTTTTTTCTTGCCATGAGCTCACACACTTTAATACAACAAAATAAAGTTGAAAACACACTCTGAGCTCCGCGTAAAGTCTTAAACTTAGAACCCAGCTGGATAACGCGGCGTATGCGCAATCTCCGCTCGGGCATTCATTAGTGCAGACCGAAAATTAATTTCTAGCCATTTGTTAGCTGCATTCGAAATGCGATTTCCTCTAATAGGTGAACAGGTTTTATTCGTCTCTGTGATTTAGCTCCATTGTGCCCACCATAAATGCCTTTGATGAATGTTTATATAAATGAATTATGACAGCCGTTAAATATTTTTCGTTGATTTCTTTCTATATTTCATTACAATTGCTGTTGTTGTGTCTTTTCGGGTTGGCACGAGTCAAATTTCTTTTTCGGATTAACCACAGATATTTACACACTCTCCGCTGATCCCCCGTGGCAATTAATCATTTAGATTCGGACTTCTTCTTGCCTCGAATGCAAAATGAACAGAGTTTGGGGAACCGAAGCCCGGAAGTTGTCTGGTGGCCACCGCACCTCAAAATCGGGTTAGCTTAAGCCCAAAGCCCGCAAATGAGGCCGCCAGACAACAACAGGGAGATTATGAAATAATGCCTGACATAGTTTTTATTCGCTCTCTCGCTCGACTCGCTGGCTGGCTGAATGAATTTGTAGAGTCACAAATGCATGATAAATCATATGAAATTTTTGGATGGGACAAACATGCCGACAGCCAACAACAGTTTCCACCATGAGTCAGGCTTCAGGGGAAAAAACGAGCTGGATATCTCGGGGACGAGGAAACGGGGCAGCTGCTGCCTACGCACAAGGTCCAACCGTGGGCGCCAGTTTTCGAGGCCAATGCAGCCAGTTTCCCCTTTGTCTCCAGGGTTCTCCGTTCACAGATCTTTAGCACATTTCCACCTAACACATCCCCTGGGAGGGAGAGAAGAGTCCGCCGGCTTGGCTGCTTGTGCAATCTTGATTTCCTTGGCCTTGTATGATTTGGCATTTTCATAAATTGGCTGCCATTCTCGCCGGTTTCAAAATGCAATTGGCACTCTTTTTCGTTTTTCTTCTTAAGCCATGACACCGCAGTTTCCTTTGGCTTGGAGTGAACTTCGCCTTCGCCTTTGCCTTTGCCGTTGCCATTGCCTCTGCCGGATTCTTCCTTCTTCTTCGCGGGGCTTGGCAGTTTCGTTGAAATGTTGAAATGAAATGATACGCACTTATTAAAAACGAATTAACGCAGCATGCCGCCAACGCCAACTTCGCTGCTGACGCAGCAGCTGACATTGGGATCGGTGTTATTTTCGTTATCTGCCTTGCTTCCTGCTCCTTTGGGGTTTTTGTAATTGATATTGCAGTTGTCTCGAATCATTTCGGTTCGGTTTTGTTTTAATTTTCGTTTCATGTTTTCGATTGTAGCTCCCAACACAAATCAGTAATTGATGGATTAGTGTTACGTGTAATTATTTAAGCGAAATTTTGTTGAATGATTATGAAGTGTTGAACATATGAGCCTGATATGGATGGTCCTAAAAAACTATTAAATTTAAACTGCAGCATGATTGCTCTATGAAAATATTACACAACCCTTTGCAGTAGGCGGTTCTGTCCATCAGCCTCACTTTTGTGCTCTTGTTATTTCTCAGCCAATGAAAACTTCTCACTCCCTTGCCCGATGACCATCAGAGTGTGCTTTTTCACCCCTGAATGTCCTTTTACTTTAAACTCCCCAAGGCACTGAGCTGTGAACACGGCTGGACCTGCCCCCCCAAACACCAGCAGATGAAGAATAAAAACTTGTCAGCAGCTCTTAAGCGCATCTGCTGTGATCCCTCCGGTTCCTCGACGATGAGCTGACCCATGTTAGTCCATTTCTATCCGATGGACCACCCAACCGAATTATATACATATATATATAACCCCCACTTCCCCCTTTTGGGGGCCTGTCAACGGTTGGCTGGACATGGATCATTAATCTAAGTTTCGGGCCGGGCCGAGCTGGGATTGAAATATTTCTATCAAATCGAAAGCTGTCTGTCACAGAGCAATGAAATTTTTATAAATGCACAACTCCCGGGCGGGAAGTGCGGAGGCAACTGTAACACTGATAGAAACATCAGCCGGGCTGGCGGCAAATTGAAATTGATGGAGCGTATATAAATTTTGATGTCCATCTCCGACTTTGGACAGACATCTCCTCCGGGTGGCAGGTGCGAGGCATTTATCTGGCGGCGATAAAAATTAAAGAAAACGGAGTAAGGAAGTGGAAGGGGATAGCGGAAGGATGCAACCCTCAGATGTGTTTTATTTTCCAGCGGGCCACACGAACTGCGGCCGCGTAATTTTTCGGGAGGCCCAAGGACAAGCCCTGACATCCTGGCCACGGCGCGCTATTTGATTTTGATTAATTATCCTGCGTCCAACTGACAGGGCTCTTTCATGTGCCCGCTGGCTAACACTCTGTTCCGCCCCCCCTCATTCTTGGGAATATCCCGAGCCCCCCCAACCCCGCGGCCTGACCAGTTCCAAGGTGAAAGCGAGAAAAACTTTTAAGGGTTGTCAACTTATCTGGGAGATTTATTGAGAACTTGGCCTGTTATGAAACGCAATTTGAAGTGTATTAATTGTGGTGCCCCACTGCCGCCATCCCTGCATATTGTTTTTACTCTCCGATCATTAATTATGCAAATCCTGGGGCTCTCTCGGCGACTTTTACACAGAAAGAAGTTTTAAGAACTCATTAAAGTTTAGAATACATTTCCAGGGATTTCAGTTTCAGTTTTCTGAATGTTTAATACTTGGAAAGATGGTGTCTTAATATCAATATTTCTAATTCTATAAGCTAATTTTATTGATTTACTAATAAATAAAATACTATCGTTTTTTTTTCTGTGCAGCAAACGGGTCGTATCAGCCAGGAATGGAGCCGAAACGCCAACGCACCGCCTACACGCGCCACCAGATCCTGGAGCTGGAGAAGGAGTTCCACTACAACCGCTACCTGACGCGGCGGCGGCGCATCGAGATTGCCCATACGCTGGTGCTGTCGGAGCGGCAGATCAAGATCTGGTTCCAGAATCGGCGGATGAAGTGGAAGAAGGACAACAAGCTGCCCAACACCAAGAACGTGCGCAAGAAGACGGTGGACGCCAACGGCAATCCAACACCGGTAGCCAAGAAGGCCACCAAGCGGGCCGCCTCCAAAAAGCAAACGCAGCAGTCGCAACAAGCGCAGCAGCAGCAAACGCAACAACAGCAGACTCCGGTGATGAATGAGGTGAGTGCTGTGCGATGAAAGTTTACAGGAACAGGCACTTAAGGTCCAGTTTCTTACCAAGACTCCTTGATAGCTTAAGCGATCGACACTTTTAAGTGTTCAAGGCGGTTCTTAATTAATATATATATACCTTAATTATATATTAAACTCTTATATAATTATCTCTCGATAGTGCATCCGTTCGGACAGCTTGGAGAGCATCGGTGACGTTAGTTCTTCGCTGGGAAATCCTCCATATATACCGGCAGCATCAGATTCGGCCAACAACTATGCGGGATCTCAGCAGCAGCTCCTCGGCAATAGCAACAACAATGGCAGCGGCAATAACAACAATAATAACAACAACAACAGCAACAACCTCAACAACAACAATAACAATCAAATGGGCCACACCAACCTGCATGGCCACCAACAACAACAGCAACAACAACAACAACAGCAGCAATCCGATCTCATGACCAATCTGCAGCTTCACATCAAACAGGATTATGATCTGACGGCCCTGTAGAATCAGCGGGGAAATCTGCAAGATGTCTTCAGCACTGTACATTAGCTATCCCTAACAATCTTTGTATAATTTTATTTCTCATTTCGGATCTACGACCTTGTACGCGGGACAAGGTTAAGGACAAATCGGAGTATACAGTGAACGTAGTTAGTTAGTCTAGTTAAGGATCGACCACTAGGTAAACGAACCCTCATCTTATAGTTATAGTTATAGATATAGATATAGTGTTGTATTCCCGATTCCCACAAATGTTGTATAGTATGAGTTGTACTTAAGCACCCTAAGATTCAGGTATAAGAGTTTGTATAAAGCCTAGAAAGATTCGTCATAGCTGGTAAGTGGCTTACACTTAGCTCTATATAAAATACATATAGAATGGCTTATTTGTATATTATAATTACCTTAAATATAATTACCGAGTGTAGTTGGCATTTGTTGTGCGTCTCTAGATGTATGTAAGTTCGTACGTATATTTTATGGATACAAATAAAACGGAAACATGAAGAGTATATCTGATATAAAGAGAATATATTGTTTATGGAAACCAAAATAAACAAAGGATTTAATTGAAGCAATACATATTTTTATTTGGGATTTTCCAATTAAGTTAAAAAGGGAGAAAACCTATTATGTAAATCTCAAATTTTATAGAAATCCTCAAACAATTCTGAGTTAGGAACTTCCCTTGATCGATTGCTCTCTTAACCCGCCTACTCATTCCAGTAGAAGACATGCACACTGGCGAGCTCGCCTATATAATAATCCGCTGATTCATCATCGCTCATTGTCAACTAATTAGGACAAATTTAAACATCATGGCCCAAACGCTGCTGGGTAGCCAAAGTCAGAATCGATTGGCGTCGAGTGTCCCGCCCCAGCTCCTTTTGTTGGGGGCTTTCGCACTAAAGAATTCAACGGGCCTTTGTTGGCAATCAGGTTGGACGGTGCAGGAGCGGTGATGTGGTCGCCAAATGCTAACAAGAGTTCTTAATTAAAAATCGATTCGCCAATGATTGATCGCAGCCCATTGGCACCTGTTGGCTTCTGGAAATATGTTCAACAAGAAATCATCTCCCGTGCTGGGATCCTCCGCAGCCAGAGTGTTTGCGATAAACTGGTCTTAGCTCACTTCCCTCGAATCGCGTCGGGCGAAGGAGGTCCTGTTGCGAATTTTAGCTGCTTGGTCAGGCGTGGCCTGCGTTGACAATGACCCGGGTTTACCGGCAGAGAGTGCCCAGCGACTCCGGGCCATAATCAATCTACCCCCGATCCGCGACACTGGATTGTCCGGCGGGTACATGGAAACACTCTTAGCGCTTAATTTATCATTGCGAAACGATCGGCTCCGCTCCTTGCGACGCGAGCCTGGGGTCCCGACTCGGAATCCAAAACTGGAAATTGCGCGCACTCGTCCCCAGCGATAAAGGGATTAAGACCTACTTATAGACCGGAACGACTCCAGAACTGGCCAAAAGAAAGGGAGAGATGGACACGAAGACGCTGACAAAGTCGCTGCAGTTGAAATTAGCAGCTCAAAGTGATTACGAGAGCATGAGCACGTGTTAGGGGAATAATTTAACACTTTGACAGGTCCTCGGAGAGTTTCAGACAGCGCAGGGAGCCGCGGATCCCTCGTAATTATGACCAACGGTAGCTTCACTTGTCAGATGCCCCTCCAAAAGGACCCACCACATACAGTCCAGCAGAGAAAGGGTTGCCTTGCTTGAATAATTTGATTCGACTTTGTTTAACATATATATAGGAATCTGTATTGTTGAAACAATAGGAGGATTTAGGAAAGAATTTGCTTCAAAAAAGAAGGAAAGACTTCTAAGTCTACTATATCAATAGGTTACGTTATTGATATTCTAGGAAATTTCGTTAATCCATTAAATCCCACAAAACGACCTCACACCTTCTCTGGTAACCACTAGAAGAGACCACAAATCCGGCAACCATTTGTTCTAAATGATTTTTAATAGACAAAACTCAGCGCAGCCATCCATCTGGCCATTTATATACCAGTCCCGGCCTCAAAGAGCCAATCCATCGCCTGGGCACTGGCGTGGCCAACATAATACATGGGTTAATGGTTACAAATTAGGCTGGATCGGTTGCAGGCAGCCAACACGCAAGTAGAGGAAAGTGGGAAGGGACTGGAGTAGGACCAACCGCAGGCTCCCAGAAGGAGGAGGAGGAGTGAACACACAGTTCTCTCCAAAAGAATAGCATTGATTTTTACCAATGGCATATACAAATATTTATTTAAATATTGAGTTATTTATGTTATAAAATTAGATAAAACAAATTAAATGTCTTAAATATATGATTAAATATATAGAAATATTAAATTACCTAAAAAAATATAATAAATAAATAATATATAATCTAAATACATGTTTTTCCCTGGCTCTACGTCACACTACTTTGACCACCACTGTGTGTGGAAGAAGGCTGAGCTGCCAATTTAATAAATGGCCACACATTAATTAAATCGAAAAGGAGAGGGCACATACACAGGAGAAGGGGCGGGGAGGACTGGACTGGAGTTGCGACTTGAGTGATGAGACTTGATTGATTCCTGCCGAGGGCCACACTTGAGGTGCATTGTTGCACATAATTGTGGCTCCGGCCTTGGCTGCACTTTGATTTATTTCTGCGGCCCGCTCTCCTTTGTCCCCTGGAATTTGTTTCCAATTCAAACTTAATGAGAATTGATGGCCCTTCAGCTTTTTCGTTGCCGCGTTGTTTGTTTTGGCTTCGGGCTGTTTTGCCATTAAATGGCCTACTAATTGGCAAGGTGAAAACAATTAGCTGACATTTCTGGGAACAGTCCCGGTTCGAGCCAGAACGGTAGCCGGCAAGGGCTCTACGAAAATGTCCTGCGGCATTCATCAAACGGCGTGTTGGAAGAAGTCAAACTGGAGGCCTCGAATATCCCGCATATTCCGTATATCCCAGCACGAAGGCAGCGGGTCCTTTTACCGTTCTAATCCCTTCACTTGTGCCGCCCGACGGCGCGTGGGCGTTTCCGTATGCAAAAAAGGTTTGCCGATGCAGCGAAATTAGCAACAGTAGACGCAGCTAATTGTTTCGCTTTGTTTCGTCCTTTTCTGCCTGCCAGGACCGCATGGGGACTACGGGTTTACTATATATATTAAAGGCCCTAGTCAAAGGGTTGAGACGGTGGGCCGGTCCGGCTCCCTTGACTTCTGTTGGGATAATCCGGGATGACAGAGGATGAGACTGGATTACCAGAGGGGAAAGGATTCCGCTTTGACCGGTAGACCGCTGCGAAAAGTCAAATGTTAAAGAAAACGAGCTGCTCGAAAACTATCTCAAAATATTGGGAAAACACAAAGGATTCCGGTAAACGGAAAATTGCATTGAAATTCATTGATAAGCGAGCAAAATTGCATGTGAGTTGAGTTAGCTTACTTTGTTATATATGAAACATTTCACAATATATCTTAATTTCAGAAATGAAATTATTACATATTTAAGAAAACTTATTTTAGGCAGAAATAAAATCAAATACTACTTGTATATACATATATGTATACATATATACATATCTTTAGGTACATATATAAAATTCGCCTGCATCCTAATGCTCATCCCATTTGTTTTTGCTATTCTTTTTGGATGCCGAGCGGCAAAAGTATCTGCGGTAATTGACATTCGATCATTAATCAAACTGCACAATGCAGCAGGCGTTTCTTTTCGTTTCATTTCATTTCGTTTCTTTGCGTTTGGTTTCCAATTTTATTCGCGTTCAGAGAGAGTGAAGCACTCGAATCGGTGGACAGTTTTTCTTTAGTATATATATATATTTTTTTTTTTTCTTTTTACAAATTTACAGTTTGAGGCAGCAGAACGGCCTTTAACACCTCTTTTGGAAAGGGCAGAGAGTAAGGATGAGAAGAGGGCACATTTTGTAGATTTTGTATCCCCATTTTGTACACTTAAAAATAAAAACCATTAATACTCAAATTATTTCTGAACATAGTTATAGTAAAATTGTTTTAATATCTTTAAGTATTTTGTAGCATGTCTTGTAAGCTTATCCATTACTATTTTTTTTAATATAATTAAATTTTCAGTTATATAGTTTAAAAGTTCATTTAAATTTTCACAATCCCAGTTACTTTACTTTATTAAAGCACAATCTTCAATATAATTCCATAATTCAGACAAAATCGTAAACTTTTTCTGCGCATGTATTATGGCTGCCATCTGAGGGCTTTGTTTTTGCCACTGACAGCTCCTTGACGTGGCCATGGCAGCTGGAGAAGGCCTGAAGGGTCCGCAAATCCTCATATATGATGTGTGCTCTCACCCTCATCCCTCACGTCCGCATCCCCATCCACTCGCACCTTCCACCCTCACCAACCGATTCGGCAGGACACCACCCCGGCGCCGGAGTGAAAGTTCCCCTGCACGCAGAAACCGAAAAGGATCCCAGATGAAAGTAGCAATTCCATCCATTTGCAATTCTTACCCTCGCCTTTGTGTTTGAGTGGGCCCCGCGACAGTGGCGTTTCTGATGAAATTTTATTCCGTTCACATAGCCGTCAATGTCATTTCTGCCGCTCGCTTAGACCTATGCCTTTTTTATGTCCTTTTTGTTGATTATTTCGTTGACATGCCGCTGTCTCGAACTCACGGAAAAAACAGATACTTGCGACATTATTTTTTCTGGCAAATATTGCGTTTGGATCTCGATTATAGTTGCGCCTCTGAAGCCAATTTAAAGAAATATTTATTATATATAATTTTTTTTTAATTTATTTATTTCTAATAGGGTGTTTAATATTAATTTAAATAAATTTATTAATTTAAAGGCTTTAATACAGAACATTAATTTTAAATAGTTAAACCCATATTTCGGAGTATTTATTGCGGAGGCAATGCCAGCAGTCTCCCTCTGTTGGCTGTTTAAAATAGATTCCACAAGGTCCTGTTGATTTATCTTAGACACAAACCAGCGGACTTTACATGTAAAATATAAATTAAAAATAAAAAAATACAAAAAACTAATTTTTAAAAAAATTTTTATTTTATAAAAATATATACAAAAAAAAATGTTAAAATAAAATAAAATAAATTTGTTTATATAAGCCAGCAGGGCTAAATCTGTGTCGACCGTAAGGCATTAACTGCATAACTAGCAAACCAAGAACACGAAATGGTGTACAATTCCATAATGGATATTAATCAATAAATTATTCAAGAAATAAAAAACTATAAAATAAAACAAATTAAATATTTATCGCTTTGAAGTAGGTATACCCAACAAAGAGATTAATTAGAAACCCTTTGAATATGCAATAATAAAATAAATAAAAAAATTAAATTAAATAAAAATAAATTGGTTTATATAAGCCAGCAGCTAAATCAGATTTAAATTTTAGTAAATCTGTGTTGAAAAGGCTGTTATAAGGCATCAGTTGCAAACTAGCCAACCGGGAACACGAATACATCTACAACACAACAAATTAGTCAAGAAATAAAAAAACTATAAAATAAAACAGAATGATAAATA